TTTTATTAGTGTAAAAAAGTGGAAATAAGAGTAATTTAAGGTTTTAGAATCAATCTAATTTTAATAAGTTGATAGTTGAAGATATGATTTTAATGTTGATCAGTTATATGAAATATGACGAAGAAGCAAATTATAGGCGAAAGATAAATTTCACAAGTATAAAAGATAAGAGATAGATAAATCACATCAGAATTTATACTAGTTCATCCTTAAACCATGCAACCTAATTTAGTTTCTAAGAGTTTACCCTTGAGATTTCTATTAACTGTTTTGAACTTCTACACAAGGTTCACCCCAAAACCTCCTTACACTAAGCTTTTACATAAGTTTATAATGCAACCTTTATATCACGTGCAATGTTACTAGATAATTAAACTCTCGTTAAAATTATAACACAATCTGGCCAGAATAGCAGAATTACACAACTCTACTTTAAGCCTTTCGATCCCTCAACACTAAGATGATGAAAATTGTATGAAAATAATATATATGTGGAAAGTGAGCTGGAAAGAAGAGTAGTAACTCAATTTTTTGTGCTTTGGAAGAGTGCACAAGACTCTTTTATATAGGATAAATTTTTTGGCTTACAGAAGAAATAATTAAAGGGCTTTAGTCGTTCTCTAATTGATTAACATAAAATGACAATCGATTAGACCTAATAAGTATGGAAGCCATTTAGATATGTTCACTTTCTAATCGATTAAAAAGGGTTCCTGATCGAGTAAATGGTGAGTTTTCTTCTTAATCATATATATGCAAATTCTAATCGATTAAAGAGCATGATTTCACTTTCTTAATTGGTTAGGACGTTTCTTAATTAATTAATAAGAGGCCATACATGATTTTTAGAAAGATATTGAAATATATGAAGTTTTGTAAAGCGTTCTAGTGTGCGCGTGTGTGTGATATAACTCATTATGTGAGAGAGATTCAAGTCTTTAACACTTGATTTTATTTCGTTTTTTTAACTTAAGTTCATTTTGTTGTTTTAAGCAATGTTTAAAAAACCGGACCAAAGATCGAACCGATAAAGCTTTCGATTTAAGGTTCAATTGGTTCAATCGGTTAAACCTATGATCGAACAATTTATTAAATATATTAATAATATAAAATTAAATTTCATAGATATGTCACAATATAATCATATGTGTTAGAACACATATTGGTTCTTAATATCTCTATGTTTGGATGATAACTCTTATGAAATTTTGTATTAAAGAATTATATACTCTAAAATTTGTCTGAGAATGTTTGCTGCAGATATTAAAGTAAATATTACTCTGGAAGCAAATTAGATCTGAACATGAAAAATATGCAAGGCTCTGAAGCGTCAGAATCACCTCTTAGAAGATTCTGAACGCTGCCTCCAGAAGATTCTGAGCGCTGTCTACAGAAGGATCTGAAGTAGAAGCTACAGAAGAATCTAAAACAGGAGCCAAAAGCATCTGAAGCATTGAAGAATTCTGTATGAAGAGTTTCAAGCTTAGTTTATTTCAGAAGACTCTGATAGTACTAACACTGCCAGTACTGAGGATCTGATCCCAAACTCTGCTTTGAACAATTATACGCTGAAAGCACACATACTGCAAAGACTCTGATTCAGCAAACTCTGATGAACATCATAAAACTCTGACCAATCTAGACTCTGATGATATCTGCTGAAACTTGTTGAAGAAGAATTCAAATTATGTCCGTTGGTATGGCCAAACGACTCTTTCCTTATTAATGCTAGACACAAGAACACATACAAAAAGGATTTTTCTGTGCATTCTATTTCTAGGAAATGTCATGTGATGTGAAGACAAAAAGGCTCAGACCTTTTAGTACACAGCCTTCAACGTGATAGCTACTAAAGGAAGACTCCATTCATCTTCTTTAGTTGAAGAAATATTGAAAGAATTCAAAGAAAGCTCTCATACAATTTATATTCACTTGCTGAATTTATTTCATAGTTCTTAAATCTTAAGTGATAAATCACAATTGTGATAAAGCTTTATTAGAAGCAAATTTAAACACTTGTATTATTCTTACATTTGATTGTAAAAGAACCTTAAGAAGATCCAGTTAGGATCAGTAGTTCTTGAGAAAACTTTGAACAGTTGTTGTTAGTGCTTACTATTGTAATCAGTTGATTAAATAGTGGATTAAATCATTGTTTGAGAAAGGCAAATCACTCTTGATAGGGTGGACTGGAGTAGTTGAGTTCAACGAACCAGGATAAAAATCCTTGAGTTTTTATTGCTAAGTTTTTCTATGTACTTATTCAACCCCCTCTTCTAAGTATTTTCTCACCTTCAATATGTTCACAACTTAATAAAATAAATATTTCAAAAATCTATTACAAACTTAATACAACAACGTTGATAATACATATAATAACATAATATAGTTATATACTTTATTTCAACCATCATTCAAGAATAATTTGAACAAATTAAATAATTATAATAAAATAAGTTAAACTAATTCAAAACAAAATTAAAATAATAGAACATAATAACAAAAATAAAGTTTTAATAATTAATAATACTTAAATTAAATTAAATATAATATAAAAAATCAACAATACAATATACTTTATTAAACAATAAAAAGTTAATTCAAGTTGAATCACGACAAACAAGTCATAATTGACAACAAACAATATTGACTTGAACGACAATCAATATTGAGCTGGATAACGTGATTATGTTTGAAAGTGACAGTGTACTGATGAATGAGTGTGGTTGAAAGAAAATCACATAATTTTTTTTTTTTGTGATTGGAGAAATGTATTTTAAGTTTTATTATTGACATATTAATTTTTTTTTAAATTTAAAAAAAGGTCAATTTAGTGTATTTTATTTTGAACCGTATGATTTTATAAAACCGACTCCAGTTATGTGGTTCGAATGATTTTATAGGGTTAAATTTGATTTTTTCGGTTTTACTCTGATTTTGATCCACTATGAATTTTAAAAAGGTTAACCCAACTGGATTTATCTCCGATTTTCAATCCAACCAATTCAATCTGATTTTTGATATTAATTTTAAGTAATTTTGTGTAGAAAATAATATGTACTATTTTTTTTAAAAAGTTTTTATGCGTTTTTCATACGTGTAGGACTATTTTTTATAAGTTCTAGCATGACAGAATTAAGACATCACTTAAACTTCAATTTTCAGCAAAATTTTAAATGCAAAGCCTTTTGATAGTAAATTTCAAAAAGGAGAGTATTTTTTTTCTCTTAGCTTCATCTATCTTCATTTGTGATTAAAATTCCAATGAAAATTTGGCGCTCGATAATGAAAGGAGACTGATTTTCTAAAATCACTTCACATATCACGTTTTAGAGACTATTCGCTAACATCTTTGATAACACTTTGTTTTAGATTTGTTACATATTTTTGTTGTTTCGATGCTGTTTTGTTTTTGAGTAAGAAAAGGTTGTTTTTGTGCTGGGGTAGATAGGAATCACTCGAAGTGCAATGTGAAACTAGGATGTTGGAAAGCTTTGTTGGATGCTAGGGTATGTGAAACTAGGATGTTGGAAAGCTTTGTTGGATGCTAGGGTATGTTTCACAACAAGACAACATGTTCGTGAAGGTGATGTCAATTGGCAACATAACATTTGTTTCAACCATAGTAGTAGTAATTTTTTTGGTACAAATATTTTCTCCAATAATGGCTATAATTAACTAAGCATTTCTAGAAAAGTATAATTAACACAAGAAGCCCAATGGAAAAAAATATGTCAAAAAATAAAATAAAACAAAAATTCTGTTAATAAATATTATAATAAAACTTAACAAAAAATAATAAATAAAAAAGTAGAAGTTTTATAATGGAAATATTAATTTTAAATTTTCAAAAAATTTAATTACATTATTCCCAGCATAGTATTAATCTATTAACTTCTTTAAAAAATGTTAAATCCATAAAAGAAATCGTTAAGCAAAAAACGGCATGTTCATATTTTGACTTTTTCTATAATATATAGATCCATATTTAGTGCCAAATTTTTAGTTTTTTTTTTCATGACAAATTATTTAATAAAGTAATAAATTAAAAAAAAATTCCATAATTTTTTATACTCAACTTAGTCCTCCTTCCTATCCAAAAAGTCCTAAAAGAAGGCAAAGAAGAAGTAATGAGTCATGGGCAGTTGAAGAAAGTTAACAGGACTCAGCTAACAGTAGCACTAGTACTATTATTGTGCTATGTTCATTGATTCAAACATCAAATCTAATAACACTACGTGTCTTTCTCAACAACACTACGTGTCAATTTATTATAGATTCTTCTTTTTTATTTACCTATTTTAGCAAATTATTATTCTCTCACTACATACATATCACTTGGTCAATTCTCCTGATTTTTTGGATTTATTATTTTTGATATCAATTTTATAAATAAATTTAAGAAAAATTCGGACAATTTAGTTTACAAAAATAATAAATAAATAAATTTAATTTGTGTTGGGTTTGCTTTTCATATCATCATTGTATAAATAAATTCCTCTTCTTCTAGACCAAAACCCTAAGGGTTCTTGTAAGAACCAATAGCCGCCAGATTCATGATTTCATCGACACACTCGATTTCATCACTATCTTCTCTTCACACCGATTAGAGTCTTGTTAACAGTTTTCGGTCAGTAATTATGGAATCCAATCTTAAATACTCAATTTCTCAAGCTTCTTTTCATGATTGATTCTTAGGTTAGTTTGTTTAGTTTCAGCTTTATGTGTTCTTGGAGATTGTTGATTGTAATTACTACTACTGTTATTAACTATTAATGTTATCATTGTTATTTTAATTTTTTTGTTTTTTTTTTGTTTTCAGTAGTTACATACAAGTGAGAGCTTTTGAAGTTGTAAATATGGGGCTTCTGCGTTTTGACGATCAAAGTTTGGGTTTTTGAGTTGTTTAGCGGTTTAGGGTTTTGTTCTTGTTTAAGGGTAGTGATCAGGTTTTAGGTGATGAAAACTGTGATGATCGGTTTGAGTTTTTGAAAGTAAAAATGTTGTCTGAATTGGGTAGGAGGCCGGTGATTGGTGGGAATGAGGGTTCATTTGGAGATGAATTTGAGAAGGAAATAGGGATGTTGCTTCGTGATCAAAGACGGCATGAGGTTGATGATCATGAACCTGAACCTGAACTTAATTTGTATAGGAGTGGATCAGCTCCTCCAACTGTGGATGGTTCTTTGAATGCAGTTGGTGGGTTATTTGGAAGCGGGTTGACTGGGGCGGCTGGGATTACGGAGTTTAGTGGGAATGGTTTTGGTTCTGAGGAAGAGCTTAGGTCTGATCCAGCTTATCTTTCGTATTATTACTCTAATGTGAATTTGAATCCTAGACTTCCGCCTCCTTTGCTATCAAAGGAGGATTGGAGGTTTTCACAGAGATTAAAAGGCGGAGCTTCTGTAATTGGTGGGATTGGGGATAGGAGGAAAGTTAATGGGGCTGATGATAATGGTGGTAGGTCGGTGTATGCTACGCCTCCGGGTTTTAACAATAGGAAAAGAGAGAGTGAGGTGGTGGTTGATGAAAAAGCTAGAGGTTCTGCTGAGTGGGGTGGGGATGGACTCATTGGTTTGCCAGGACCAGGCCTTGGAAGCAAACAAAAGAGCCTTGCAGAAATTTTTCAGGTGATTTGTTTCTTTCATTGCCTTTTGTAATTTTATTGACTTGTTTTACTCAGTTTTTGCATTTGTTTAGTTTTCACTGGAATTTGTTGTGTTTCACTTCTGTGTTCTCTTTTTAGTTTGATTTTTGCATCCACTATAAAATCTAGGCCCATTAACAAGTTTGATTTGTCTCATATTTAGCACTTCCTCAGAATCCTATATTTTGGGACACTTGTAAACATCATAGTTTAAAGCTTCTGAGCATATGTTGATAATGGCCCTGGCTGTATTGTTGTATTCATATCTTTCAGAGCCTCATATTTGTTCAGCTTATTCTTTTACTTCTTTTTTGATTTGGATGTTTGCCTGATAATTCATTTTTGGTGAAACAAGCTATCTTTCCTACATTGTGTAAATATTTATTTTTCTTGCTATTATCAAATGTGAATTTTCTGTACTACATACTATATAAATGCGTGTATATTCAAATTTTGCATTTCTCTCTATCTTGAGCTTTTTATTCTACCGATAATCTCTAACTATTACTTGTGCAGGATGACTTGGGACGCAACTCCTCTGTCACAGGCTTTCCTTCTCGTCCAGCCAGTCGTAATGCATTTGATGAAAGTGCTGAGATTGCATCGTCTGCTGAAGCAGAGCTGGCTCATTTGCGCCACGGTTCCTCGGCCACTGATGGTGTGAGGTCTGGATCAAATGTTCAAGGGTCACCTGTATCCCAAAATGTTGGCACACAAGCTTCATATTCTTATGCTGCTGCACTTGGTGGCTCTTCTCTGTCACGAAGCACTACTCCTGATCCACAACACATTGCTAGGGCTCCCAGTCCTTGCCCCACGCCTATTGGTAGTGGAAGAGTTGCTGCTGCTGAGAAGAGAGGTATTACCAGTCCTGAAGCATTTAATGATGTTTCATCTGGCGTCAAAAATGGGTCTGCAGATATTGTCTCAGCAATGTCTGGCATGAAATTGTCCGCAGACGGTGTGTTGGATGGTGATAACCATTTCCCATCCCAGGTTGAGTCTGATGTTAATAATTATGCAAGATATCTTTTTGGTATGCCAGGCGGTCAGGATCATGGCAAGCAACAAGCATATTTAAAGAAGTCTGAATCGGGACACTTACAGAAAATAGCTCACTCTGATTCAGTTAAGAGAAGCAGTAGCAGGGCAGACATGAAAAGTCCATCCTTGGATAGGCAGGCAGAGCATCAAATGTCTGCTGTTTCTCCCAATAACTCGTATTTCAATGGATCTCCTAGCTCTCCTTATAGTGGTGGAGGTGGCTTGCCTGCACAGTACCAGCCTTCAGACGGTACCAATTCATCATTTAATAACTATGGCCTGAGTGGGTATGGTGGAAATCCAGCTTTGGCATCTTTCATGGCTAACCAACTTGGAACTGGTAACTTGCCACCTCTGTTTGAGAATGTTGCTGCAGCATCAGCAATGGCATCCCCTGGAATGGACTCAAGAATCCTTGGAGGTGGTTTTCCTTCTGGAGTTTCTTCTCCATCTGATGTGCATGTTCTAAGTAGAATGGGAAATCAAACTGCAGGCGGTGGTCTTCAGGCTTCTTATGTTGACCCAATGTATCTTCAGTACATGAGGTCCCCCGAGTATGCTGCTGCACAACTTGGTGCTCTTAATGACCCAGCTGCAGACAGGAATTACTTGGGAAACTCATACATGAATTTACTTGAGCTTCAGAAAGCTTATCTTGGATCTCTGATTTCACCCCAGAAGTCACAATACAATGTTCCACTTGGTGGTAAATCCGGCGGTTCCAACCATCATGGTTATTATGGAAATCCTGCGTATGGTGTTGGTTTGTCTTATCCAGGAAGTCCAATGGCAAACTCTTTATCCAATTCTCCAGTTGGGTCTGGCAGTCCTATTAGGCATAATGACCTAAATATGCATTTTGCTTCTGGAATGAGGAACGTAGCTGGGGTTATGGCACCATGGCACCTAGATTCTGGAAACGTGGATGAGAATTTCGCTTCATCTCTGTTGGAAGAGTTTAAAAGCAATAAAACTAAGTGTTTTGAGCTTTCTGAAATATCTGGCCATGTTGTTGAATTCAGGTATATATACCTTTTTAGCCTGATTGGTGTTCTGTTGGTTAATTATTTGTAATATTTGCCAAGATTCTTGGGGACAACAAAATTAATTTAATTTGCTCTTATTGGCAGTGCTGATCAATATGGGAGCCGTTTTATTCAACAAAAGCTTGAAACAGCTACTACTGAAGAAAAGAATATGGTTTATCAGGAAATCACTCCACATGCTCTTGCTTTGATGACTGATGTCTTTGGTAATTATGTGGTTCAGAAGGTAATTATTACTCTATCTATGTTAACCATGCATAAATATGAACCTTGGTAGAGTGACAGTTTGCATCTGACAGTTTTTTGAGCACGGCCTTGCATCCCAAAGAAGAGAGTTAGCAAACAAGCTTTATGGCCACGTTCTGACACTTAGCCTTCAAATGTATGGTTGTCGAGTCATCCAGAAGGTATTGACAATTAAGTGCAGTAGTTGATATTTCTAGTGGGGCATTGTGTCCATACTTTTCTGAATGTGGCATCCTTTTTTAATTTGTATATATAATTAGGCCATAGAAGTTGTTGATCTGGACCAGAAGATTAAAATGGTTCAAGAGCTTGATGGTAATATCATGCGCTGTGTACGAGATCAGAATGGCAACCATGTCATTCAGAAATGTATCGAATGCGTACCTGAGGATGCAATCAACTTTATTGTCTCAACTTTTTTTGATCAAGTTGTGACATTATCAACCCATCCATATGGTTGCCGGGTGATACAGGTAAATAAATCTATTCATTGCTTTTGTTTCTCTTTTTATGTGCAGTTTAAAGTCCTCGAAAATTTAATACCATTTATTTCACATGGCAGAGAGTACTGGAGCACTGTGAAGATCCTAGCACACAGCAAAAAGTTATGGATGAGATTTTAGGAGCAGTTAGCATGTTAGCCCAGGATCAGTATGGCAACTATGTTGTCCAGGTTTTTAATTTATTATTACAACTACTTGTATTTTTGCTATTTATTGTCACACTTATTGATTCAAAAGTGGTTCACCCTAACAATCATAATTTTTGTATGGTTTACTTTATTATGGTGTTTTGCTTTTTAATTCATTGCAGTTATCTAGCTTTTCTTCACTTTGGGCCAAGTAAAATCCCAGCCGGGCAACTTTTTTTGACCATATGCTTGTCTCCTTTTTCTATGATATATACATGACCACATACAGTACTCTCTGTCAACTATATTAAATGACTAGTTCTTAGATTCTTTTATGGGTTAAAACTTACATTCTCTTTTATAAGCGAATTTTAACTTTTTAAGTTCATTGAATAAATGATGTATTTGGACTGTATATTGACTAGATACATCAACTATTTTATGAATTTAAAAAGTTAAAATTTGCTTATATAAGAGATTGGAGGGAGTAGTTTACTAAGAAAGTCTGGTCTTAGTTATTGCTTTGTATTTGTTTTTAAGTATGTATTGCTTGATGTCATAGCATATCATGCTTTATGCTCAATCCCGAATTTGTCCTTTTGTGATCCAAACTTCTAGTTGCTCTAGACCCCATACTTCAGTAAGCAAGTACTATTTAGCATGTCATTTACACTTGTAACCTGATCTCTTATTTACTTTCATCTTCTTCTCTTTGATAACAGCATGTCCTTGAGCATGGTAAACCGCACGAGCGTTCTACAATTATCAAGGAATTAGCAGGCAATATAGTTCAAATGAGCCAGCAAAAGTTTGCCTCTAATGTTGTGGAGAAGTGTTTGACCTTTGGAGGTCCTTCTGAACGCCTATTGCTTGTAAATGAGATGCTTGGCTCAACGGATGAAAATGAGCCTCTGCAGGTTTCTTTACATCCCTTAAAAACTATGAAGTTCTTCTGATAGAATCATATTTGTCATAAAAATTTAAAGACTTAAAGCCTATTTTATGTTTTGACATAATGACTATGGCTTGACAAAATTGATTGTAATTTGTCATATCTTGCAAATGATAAATCATCTCCTCTTTGATGTGTGCAGGCAATGATGAAAGATCAGTTTGCTAATTATGTTGTACAGAAGGTGCTGGAGACTTGCGATGACCAACAGCGCGAGCTAATTCTTTCGCGAATCAAAGTTCATTTGAATGCATTGAAAAAGTACACCTACGGAAAGCATATCGTAGCCCGTGTAGAGAAACTTGTTGCTGCTGGAGGTACATATTGTATTCATTATTTGAATTAAGGTTTTTTATACACTCTTGTATTTGGCATGAGAAGGTACTAATTACATGCAACACAAAATTTGTTGCAGAGAGGAGAATTGCTGCTCAGTCTCCTCATACTACTGCTTAGGAGTGAGAGTAGAAAAAGAGTGTTGTCTGTACAGCTAACTGAGGCTAGTGTGATCTCCTCCAGCATGCAAGAGTTATTTATGTTTATCTATCTATTTATCTGTCGTGATGGCCGATTGGTAATAAAATTATCGGTTTGTAATTGAGAACTGTACATTAGTTTATACATAGAATATTTAAGTGAGGTGAGAGGTTCAGATGTGTAATACTACTTACTACACACCTCTGATGCCGCTGCAGTGGAAGATGAAAAATGACAATACAAGGCAAGATGGAGGATGTAAAGTTTTTCATAAAACGGTGAGGTAGTTTATAAGCTGACGAGACTGTACAAAATGTTGCTATGTGAAGAGCTGTTAATGTTTATCATTTTTAGATGAAAGCAGAGTTTTTCTTTCAACTTTATTTCCCAATTTTACAAACTCATGTTTGCTTTCACTCCCACAGGCTTATATTTGCCTCTCTGCAAATTCCAGTCATTTGACAACTTTCACATTCATTAAAAATAATAGTTAAATGTATTTGTATAAAAGAGATTTATTTTTATATAATAATATAAATTAAAATCTATAAATATATATTATGGTGTGAGACATAATTCATTTAAGTGTATAACAAACACGGAGTATAACAAACAAGGAATGAAGCTTGAGACATAAAGATTAGTGATGGAAACCAACATATAAATCCTCAAACAAGGAATGAAGCTTGAGACATAAAGATTAGTGATGGAAACCAACATATAAATCCTCAACCATGTCATGTCATTGACGATAATGTTTCTTACTTGTCTCTTAAAACATTGTGCTTACTACACAATCTGCTAAACCATAGGCGAAAATGAATCTGATTTCATTGCAAGAATGGTAGAGCAACCTTATTAACCTACTCATCGTCGTCAACTTCTACTGTCTTTTGACCAAATCCTTTAGGTCCAGCCCTAATCACTTTCCTCTTTTTCTTTTTCGTTTTCGTTTTTCCACTCTTGGCTTCTTCTTTCTCAAACTTGTCTTTCTCTCTTTTTGTCAAGAAATCTGTTACTGCTAAATAGATAACCTGTAACACAACCAATAGTGATAGAATCACAAACCAATTCACGATAATTATAAAAAGATAAGGAAATTACGAATATACCCCAATAGTGATAGCGGATAAGCCAATGAAAGCGAGGAAGAAAAGAACTGATACGATTACAGACCCGCCATCAACGGGGGTTGTGACCAATTGCTCTGTAGCATCAACGGCGGCGTCTTCGACAGCTGCAGCAGCAACGGGAAGTGGCAGAAGTTTGGACTTATTATGCAAAAGGATGGATTTTGTGGATGTGGTGATAATGGGAGAGAAAGATGAAGTAGTTGGAAGAGAGTAAAAGCGAGTGTGGAAATGGAAAGAAGGAGATTTTGAAAGGAAGGTAGCAATTTGTGGAGATGATGCAAATGCAGCAGTGGCCATGGCTTCTTACCCTCACCACTCAGTTACCCCTTTAGCTAGCAATAGCAATCACTCGATTCACTTTTTTGTTTATGTGACGTGGCGCAACCACGGTTTGGGTTGAGATGCTTTGCTATCTTTCTTGATTAGATCCTATCGGTTAATCCTACTACTACAGTAACTTCTCCAACATTCCAACCAGGATTTATCCTCCACCCAATTTAATTTCCATAAGTCTTTCTATTTAAAATTGGAATCAAATTTGCTTACAAAATTTTTGGATGATAATTCAAATATTTGAGTATAATCAAAATTTTCGAAAATTTATTATATGAATTAATATTGAAATTTTTAGAGATAGATGCTTCTCATGTTTCGTCATAAAGTGGATGAGGTCTGACACTTCCATCTCCTATAGGATTAGTCTTGTTAACATTGTCCTCTAGACTCTAATTCTGACAACACAGTTAATTCATGGCGACACATACCTCTGTTAGAAAATTAATATCATCACTACCCCGAATGTTCTCTGGTGTAGTGGACAGTCCTCTCCTCTAGATCATGGCTGGAATGGGGTGGTAATGAGTATGACAATTGTAAAAGAAGGTGTGATCCAGGTTACTTTTATTAGAGTTTTACGGTGGACACCATTGTACTTGTCAAAAAGTACAAAAGTGTGTGGTATCCTTACACGGGTAGGGGATACTCAAAAGCCTTTGTAGTTAAGGGTGGTTAGGGCTTGTTCACGGTAGTAAAAAAATTTTATTTGGTGATGTTTTTTGGTGGTAACAGAAAGTTAACACACATGAGGTGAAAGACTATGTACTTATCCGTTACGCTGAGTGTATAATGATCTACCCCTTCAACCCTAGGATTGAGTTATTTATTGGGGTTAAATTTCATGAAACCCTAGGAGGTGGTAATCGCTCCCCTTGATGGGGAAGACTATACATTGTTTATTTTCTAGGGAGTTATGGTATGATATCGTCCGCGCGATTAGTGCTTGGGTAACTGTAGTGTACACGTCTTTCTTTAGAGCGAGCCTCCCCTGTTAGATAAAGGTACCGACTGAGTGATGATTCGAGAGGCGGGGACCTGTATGTCTCCCTTATTTGAGGTTCTCACATATATATCACTACAATACAATAATGAACTTTCGTATTCTTTGAAAATCAAATTCTGAAACCATGCAGAAGAGTATTTATGTATTTACCTGCAACTTAGAAAAAACGCAAATGACAAAAGTGCATAGAAACAAAAAATGTTCAAAACACATTGCTTAGTTATGCTACCTAACAATGACTATAACTACCTATATATATTGACGTATATTACCCAATCTAATGTTTCTATTTCTCAATACAAGTATAGAAAGTCAATTGTGAAAAAAATTTGGATTCAAAAACTTACTAAATGTGTAGTGGATGTTAAGCATTTCAATTGATTGAATATTGAGAATAGTAAATGACAATCCACTTGGATTGAATGGAGTAAAAATGAAACTTGGAAGTGATTTTTTTTTATAGCAAAACTTGGAAGTATCTTGAGAAGAGTTTGTTTGTTTTGCTTGAAATGAGGAAGGGGAAATGTCTGACGCGTATTTGATTAAAACTCTGTACGGAGATGGACTTTCGTAAGTTTTTACGGATATACATTTTAGTATTATTCTTTTTCAAAAATAAGGGTCTAACTCACTTACGAATGGTTTGAAAATGGATTGGTGCGTCTAAAAGTACATTTTCGAAATCTAAAGACAAATTTGGTCTTTCATTAAGGTGCGTGAGCACTTACCTTAATATAGGAGAAGTAATTTCCATTACTGAAATGTTGAAATGATGATTTAGCTAATTGGAGCTGATCTAATAGATACAACTTTTATAAATGGTTGTTTGTGAAACATCTTGCTATTGCAAGGGTATCCGATTTAGTAAAAAAATAATTTTTTAAATACCGCCGTTTGATGAGGTTTGTCCTATTTGCTGCAAGACGTGCTTGGATACATTTGGAGAACACGCTATTTATTGCAAGGATCTTTCAGGATTCAAATACCGATATGACTTTGTTAGAGACACCTTATTTAATAATTTTAGGCGTGTAGGAGTATCTGTGAAGAAAGATGCGCATATAAATTTCTTGACCGATCCACAGGAGAGAAGATCAACTCTTAGGCCGTCAGATATTCTAGTGTATGAGTGGATATGAGGAAAACATGCATATGTAAATTTGACTGAATTTTTTTCACCAATGCGACTAGCGACTAGAGGTTTTATTATATAACATGCAACTCTCAAAGCCGCTTCATGTACAGTGCTCAATCATGAGAAATAGTAGATTTTTTTTTTTTTACACTTTTAGTTTTTTAATACTAAAAGTAGTGAATCTTTTTTTTAGCACCATTTGCTATTTATGTATAATCCTGATTATATATAATATTTTTTATTTAACTATTTATAATTTTTTTCTTAAAATCAATTAAAAGTTAGTTTAAAAACTTGTTCAATCGAGTAATAAACTTAGAAAAGTAGTCTCATTTTTATTAAGAAAAATCTAAATCCCAAAATTAGGACAAAAAGAAGTCCATCGCACGTGGAAATGTAAAGAAACGCAGACGAATTACTTGTGGGAAATTATTCCAACTCTATCCCTGCAAGTTTATATCGTTAATTACGGCCGCGAAGCTCCAAATTTCAACCGAACCAGAAGAACGAGAAAAGATGATAGAACAAGAAAGATTTCTCCATTAACATGCATGCCTTAACTCCCTCTAAAATGTTGCTTTCTCTTTCTCCAATTTCCCCATTTCTTCAACCATCTTCATGCCTCCATAACCAAAACCAAACAGCATGTTCAATTTCCATACCTAGTTGCAAATTCAACCCTAGAATCTACACCAACCGAAAGCAGCATGATAGCAAAGGAAGAGGTGGCAATAGAATAACCGTAATTGTAAAAGCAAGGCGTGGTGAGTCTCCGTATGAGGTTTTGGGATTGTCGCCTTCCGCATCTGTGGTTGATATCAAGAAAGCTTATCGGAAACTCGCTCTTAAGTATCATCCTGATGTTAATAAAGAGGTAATTGCTATTATTTCAATCTCTTTGTTGTGTTCTGTGTTGAATTTTATGTATACATGGTTGTTGTTGGGCTTTTATTCTGTTAAAGAGAAATTGTTTGAAACCTAAGTAGAAAACCTATTATTAGTGTGTTTATGACTTGGAAGAACTTTTGATAGTTAGGGAATTTATCCATTGTTGGGATGGGATATTATGATTGAAATACACTGTCAGACTTTCTTTGGATTGATGGAATTGAATGAAGCGGGGCTGAATGAGATGGAATAGAGTGGAATTCCATTGTTTGGATCATTTAAAATCATATGGAGCAGAGCGGAATGGAGTGGTATGAATTTCATTTCATTCCATCACTTATTTCTCCACCTCCGATTTGTGAGGAATGGAGAATTTGACTAATTCCGTCCTAAAATTTCCAAACAAAGAAATGGAATATTTATTCCGCTCCGTTCATTTATGATATCCAAACATACCGAAGCGGTTGCGGTGACTACCGCATCAGCAATATTGCAGCCGTCGGTGTAGTCAAGATCGAGTACTGGTCTTAAAATCTTAAGATCTTACGTGCTGAAGTTGCCTTTTAGTGCTACGATCTGAGAAAAACTTTTTTCGTGCATTTTGTGATCAAGATCGAGTGCTGGGTTTTAAGAACGTGCTGAAGTTGCCTTTTGTATGACTATATTGATATGGAAATACATCATATCTTAGATGAGTAGACTTGTTAGTTAGATTTATGTTTCTTGAGCTGCTTATTTTGAGCAAAGTCTTTTGAACTTGTTAAATTATGGAAGGATGGTTATGTGTTATTAATTAAATTGGTTGAATTTTGTCATTCATATGTTATTTTGTCCATGTATTATAATTTTTACGTTTGTATGTGTGTGTATGTCAAATTACCGTTTTGCCCTTCGATAAGATCTTAGGTGCCGTGCTATGATTCTAGTTTTACGATCTTTCACAGGCCGTCCAATCCAACTTAAGATCTAGTGCTTGACTACCTTGGCGGCTGTAATTTAAGACCATGTTTGTTGCAATATTTTCCCCATGAAATTTTGCCGGTTTGCACAAAAGATTGTATTGAACAAATTTCTTGATTTTAGCTATATATCCAATTATTGTATCAATAGTTAACTATCAGAAGATACAAATACTTGGTTACTTATTTTTGCATTTTAAAGTGTACTCTCACAGGTTAATGCACAGGAGAAATTTTTGAGGATAAAACATGCATACAATACGTTGCTAAATTCTTCGCGCAGAAAGTATGATTCTGGAAATCGTGGTTCTAATTCTTCTCAAAGAAGCCAAAGTTGGAATCCAAAAACTGAAGAAGAGTTTTATGGATTAGGTAAAGATTTAGAATAACTTGCAGTCTGGTTTGGAGATCTATCTACAAACTTCAATTTTGAATACTTTTTCAATTTCGTTACTGTTACAGAATACATTTTCAATTCTTCATATGCCTCCTGTCCTGTCTGTCTTTCATCAAGTTAGCAACATTTTTAGAAGAAAAAAAATCTTATGTTAATATCTTACTGCTGCAGGTAATTTTTTGAGAGATGTTGAAATAACAATAGGTAGTTATATACTCTCTGGTAGACAACATGTGACCAAGCCAGCTATACGTTTAGCCTGCATTTCATTACAAATTTTATCCGGGGAAAGGGATGTCTCTAGTGTTACAACCTAGTTTTATATTTCATTTCATGCGTGGTTTAAGATCTGATGATTTCGTTATTACAGGAGACTTCTTTAAGGATCTTCAAGAAGAATTCAGGAACTGGGAAGCCAGTGCGGCTTCGCAAGGAAAACCAAAGAGTCTATGGGAGGAATTGGCGGTGAGACTTCCTGTTAACATTTGTATCTGTTTCTAAAGACACACATAATTGATTGTGGTTTATTACCATAGATTTCCAAGAAAAGCCTTAGTTTTTAACAGGGACTGATAACTT